GCGCCAGTGCGTCATCTTACTTACCTCGCCGAGCGTCGCGTCACTGCTGCTCCGGTGTGCGGCGCTCCGAGCGGGGTCATCTGGCAGTCTCCGGCCACCTAAATTAGGACCCGGAGACTGCCAGATGACCCCGCTCGGAGCGCCGCACACCGGAGCAGCAGTGACGCGACGCTCGGCGAGGTAAGTAAGATGACGCACTGGCGCTGACTCGAGTATAAGCCGTCCCGAATATAAGCCGAGGGTGGGAAATGAGGCAGCTACTGGTAGATAGATACCAATAAAATTACATGAATATTTATTTAAAAGAAAAATAACCTAGCTCTGCAAGTGGAAAAGGGGGTACAGGGCTACATACAGATCATTTAATACATTCATGTTAGTATAATTGTAAATGTATTGTCTGCACTGTATTAGCAGTATATACTCTATATGTAGTATATACTGCTAATACAGTGCAGACAATACATTTACAATGATCCTCTGCTAACATGAATGGGTTAAATGATCCGTAGTACATGATATGTAGCCCTGTACTAGGGATCATTTAACCCATTCATGTTAGCAGAGGATCATTGTAAATGTATTGTCTGCACTGTATTAGCAGTATATACTCTATATGTAGTATATACTGCTAATACAGTGCAGACAATACATTTACAATGATCCTCTGCTAACATGAATGGGTTAAATGATCCGTAGTACATGATATGTAGCCCTGTACCCCCTTTTCCACTTGCAGAGCTAGGTTATTTTTCTTTTAAATAAATATTCATGTAATTTTATTGGTATCTATCTACCAGTAGCTGCCTCATTTCCCACCCTCGGCTTATATTCGGGACGGCTTATACTCGAGTATATACGGTACCTTTATTTACAGATGATTCTGTATGAAGCAAAACTATTTATCAGGAACGCTGGACAATGCAGTTCTTATGGTTTAAAGTAGAGTTTTTAGAAAGCACTAGCATTTAACAGCCAGACGCATACAGCATCATTCAAAACCTCAGCATTTATCCATGGCTTCTCCTCCTCCTCTGCATATCTCTGTAGGTAAATCTAAGTTGTGCATATAAATGAATCCCGGCATCCCTTGCCATCCTTCCAATAAAAGGACTGTGCGTCTAGGCTCCCAAATATATAATCAGGAGAACCAATAGAAGATCATATAATAGAGATGCTGAGGATCTCAGCGTTTATATAACTTCTATCCTTGCTTTTCCAGGGGCTGAAGTGATTTGACCACTATTTGTTTTCCCTGGAGAACTCATTAGCATCTCATTGGGTTAGAAAAAAAACCCAATGAGAACAGCACATCTGCACATAAATGCTGCATTATCAAGCAAGTAACTATTGCACTGTTGGTTGAATTTGGATTCAATAAAGGATTCCCGCTTAACTAAAACAATATATTGATTCAAATGCTGGAATCAATGTATAACCACCTATTACTTTGGCACCCTTCGCTTAAAAGAGAACTATGAGGTGAGTGCTTTTCACTCACCTCATAGTTCTAGCCGACCTGTGACAATGAGACTGTCACAGGTCGGCTCAGTAGATCGGGAGGTGAGCGAACACATACCGGCGTTCGCTCACTTCTCGATCCTGTCACGGCTCTCTATCATGACAGGGGAGGGGCTGAATTCCCCCGCTCCGATCCGCCAGCGCTGACTGGGCGGAACGGACGGGGCGGGTACAGCTGGCTCTGCCTGTCAGTCACGCAGCTGGGCGGATCCCGGCACAATTGTCGGGATCCGCTTCAGCTACAGCTCGAGGTATATTAAGCCTAGGGTGACGGGAGGACGCTAGTTTGTGTCCTCCCGTTACCCTAAGGAGAACTATGGGGAAAAGCCTTAACCCCATAGTTCTCCTTTAAAATGGGGGCAACAGCAGAGAAAACAGCCAGGTACTAAGATTAATGTTATGTTTGAGATGGGTGGATCATGTTGTTATTATCTAAAACTGTTTGCTAAATCTATGAGGGGGAAACTATAATTTCTTATCTTTACACTCTTTGTAAGAGAACTATGGGTAATCTTTTATTCCCATAATTCTTTTCAGGGTCACGGAAGGACATATACTAACCTCCTCCAGTGACCCAAAACTCAGTATATAGCAAGCTATTGCCCGTTACATACTGAGATCGCCACTGTCGAGATCCACCCGGTTGGCTGATTGACAGTGGGCTCTGCCTATCTAGAGGTAGAGCCAGCTGTGCCAGCCCCCTCCCCTGTCCGATCCTCCAGTCAGCGCTAGAGGATCAGAGAGGTTAGGGGGGAATCCTTGCGGGGAGCGGTGACTGTCAGTCACCACTCTCTGCAGGGAGATGATTGGGAAGTGAGCGATCTACGGGATGTGTTCGCTGACTTCCCGATCAATAGAGCCGAGGTGTGACAGTTTCATTGTCACAGGTCGGCTTGAATTATGGGGATGAGTGTTTTTCACTCACCCCATAATTCTCCTTTAATGCAGTTCTCTGTACCTGCATATATGAATGCTCTATTTTTATAATGATGTACTCTTCTACACCTATTAAATTAAATTGCCAGGTGAAATCAGATTCAATAACTATCATCAAACAATGCTCCCTATATACAAATGTCCAACTTGGGGTCTGTGCAGATGAAGACCTCAGAGTTAGGCTAATAAACAGTGCATAGACATTGTGGTCTGCTTCCCTGAGCATCCATCTCCACCCCCATCTCTTGCATAAGAGTTTGTAAAAATAAAAAGTTACTAACTGACCGGAAGTATTGATTTATTGCTGGTGTGTGGGAGAACAATATGCCCGGTGAGGTTTTTCTGCAATCAGCCGATTCAGTATGTAGGAAAAAGGTGTACAATGTAATAGAGGATCAAATACAATGAAAGCTTTAAAAGCTCGATCCTGAAAGAGAGGGCACCTTAAAGTGTATTTCCACTTTTGCAGCCAATATTTTATATTTGTTATAGGTTTCTCATTCAGCATAACTAAAAAAAATAAACTGTCGCTTGCTCAATTCGGAAAGAAAAGTGGTTTCTTGTTCCGATTTTCCTAGCGGAGGGTGGCAAGAATGTTAACATAATGAACCGTGTCTGTACTGTACTGGCAGATTTCATTATCAGTTGGAAACTAGATTGGTCTTGACAAAGGGTTAAAGATCTAGAAGCATTGTATGTTAATGAGAGGAAGCTCTGTCTGTCTCTATTGTTTCTAAGGGGACAAACATAGTTTCTCGTCACTTGGAAATTGGGAAAGAAGCTTGCAAAGGCTACACAGGCACATCTCAAAGGTAAGAAAAAATAGCCCCTTGCATTTCTCTCAGTGCAGGTTTCATTGAAATACAAAAAGACCCAAACTGGAAGGCAAACACCTTTCTATTGCACTGTGGGATGGCAGAACTTTTCCAAGGCTATATGTTATAGCTAAAGTCAAAGTCTGTGTTCAGAGGTTTCCAAAATATACTCGTTTGCTCAGAACCAGTGAGACCATCCTGTGGTGCCGCTCTTAAACTAAGCCATGCCATTTCTCAAACTATTCCTTATGCAATCCCTTCGAAGCTCCCTGGTCACATCTATGTGAGATCACGTGTGACAATATTCGGTGCACTGTGGTGCCAATTTTTCTTGGCACCCCAATGCATTTAGCCCTTGCACACGTTACATCAATACCATGCATTATGGTGTGACACGAATCTGGAGCAATTCATATGCGGCAGGCAGCCCATTCAAATGGATGGGCTGCACCACATCAATGCATGGTACACCATGCTATAATGTGCTGCAACCCAAGTCTGATGTAGCATGGCACAGGAGTGAACTCAGTACCTGTGCAAAGCGGATGTTGGAGTAAACTAATGGAGGTCAGCCAATAGAAGTGATCAAGAAGCTAAAGCAAAAGTAGGTAAATAGAATTTTCACAACTGCTTTCTAGAGACAGCTAGAGAGCTGTGAGAATAGAGATGGGTCAATAATGTGCTTACAGCACCCTCTATACACAGGTATCATTAGATCGGATAGCAAGAGGAACAGCATGGGTCACTTTAATGGCTTATATTCAATTTCATTATTTTAAAGTGGAACTTCACTCGCTAGATGCACTAGGCATCATTAGACTCCTCCTTTGCTCGTCACATACATTGGCCGAAGGAGGGCGGCATGGCAGTGTATCATCATGGGCTGGCTGCCTGAACCAAAAGAAGACAGTCTGACATTAGAAATGAAGATAGAGGTGTGGGAAACGCATGTGGCAGTGGTGCGGTGGAGCATAGAAGAACAACACTGGACTCGCTGGGCAGATCTAGTGGCGCATCATCAGGGGCTGGTTGCCTAAATCAGCAAGAGACAGCCGGCTCCTAATTACATCATAAAAGAAGATGGCGGCACGGGACCTGGTGTGTGGCAGCAGCATGGTGGATCAAGGAAGAACAATGCTGGATCCTCTGGGTGGGTGAATATGAAGGGGGCAGGCCTAGTGGCACATCATCAGGGGCTTCTGCCAGTAGCAGGAACAGACAGCCGACTCCTGATGATGCCATAAACGAAGATGGCAGTCTAGGACCCAGCGTGTGGATCATAGCAGGACATTGCTAGACTTGCTGGGTGGGGGAGTGAATATGTCAATTGTGCATCGCAAAAGCAGAAAAAAATATGGAGCAAAACAAAAACAAAATGGGGGGGATAAAGTTCCTCTTTAATGACAGGCTTCCTTTAAGCAAAATATAATTTGATGTTTTAAGAGCAGCGCTTTCTACCCACTTAGTCAAGTCTGCCATACTCTACTGTTATTTGTGTGTACAATACAGTTCCAAGAAATCGCTCACAAGTGTCAGCCTAATTGCTGTGAATAGAGGGGCTTAAGTCTTTATTACATGGAGCTTTTTCTCCAGGGCTGTTGTGTGACAAGCTGGAAACATTAATAACACAAAACCACGCACACACGCATAATCCTAACCTAACCCACCCCCTCGTCTTCCAGATATACACACAATTACAGCCAATGTAACTGCAGACAAGAACATTACCTCTCGTATATCTTCATTTCCTTCTTTGATATTTTCTGTGGCGCCCACGACGAGCTGATGGATATTGTCAATCTCTGTTTCCTGGCAGAAGAAAGGAACAGCAGAAAAAGTTAATGGGTGACATTATTTGCTGGGATTCCATATGCCACAAACACAAAGCACAAGCTTGCACCTATTAAACCCTCTCCGGCAATGACAGGCGCTCATTCAAAATACAAACAGAATCATTTCAGTCATTATGGCCACTACTTAACTGTAGAAAATTCTCTATCAGAGCAGCCAGTTCATGATTCTGTCAGAGGCGGATTGACTTGTCTTATTTCCTAAAGGGAATATAAGCGAGTCCCCTTGAAATACGCCAGGTCCAAACCCAATAACAAAAATCTCACATAAGCTTTAATGAAATTTCAAAGGTTGCTTTCCATCTTGTTGTTTAAACCTGCAGCATTTATATAAAAAAAAAAAAATGTGGTAATCCTGCCATGATGGTCCTTGTTCAGGCAGAGAGCTGTGACTTCCATGGTCCTTGTTCAGGCAGAGAGCTGTGACTTCCATGGTCCTTGTTCAGGCAGAGAGCTGTGACTTCCATGGTCCTTGTTCCGGCAGAGTGCTGTGACTTCCATTGTCCTTGTTCAGGCAGAGAGCTGTGACTTCCATGGTCCTTGTTCAGGCAGAGAGCTGTGACCTCCATGGTCCTTGTTCAGGCAGAGAGCTGTGACTTCCATGGTCCTTGTTCAGACAGAGAGCTGTGACTTCCATGCTCCTTGTTCAGGCAGAGAGCTGTGACTTCCATGCTCCTTGTTCAGGCAGAGAGCTGTGACTTCTATGCTCCTTTTCAGGCAGAGAGCTGTGACTTCCATGGTCCTTGTTCAGGCAGAGAGCTGTGACTTCCATTGGCCTTGTTCAGACAGAGAGCTGTGACTTCCAGTTATAGGATGACAACTGTCTTACAATTGTGGCCCTGTGTTGTCACCCTTGCACGTGAGCCCCTGGTGGAAACTATCGTGCAGACATACTTTGTGCAGGCAATAGGCCACCATAGTCTACAGAAACCATGTGCAACTGACGCTGGAGCAAATGCATGTAGAGCGGCTGAAAAGGGCTGGAGATCAGCAGCGATTAGATGCAAATAATAATGAGAAAAAACATATATTTTGAAAACCATATTAAATAAAGAACAAGGCAATTTGATAATAACATAGTGCTTTCAAGATCTTCCAATTAAGGTTAGATCTGCTTTAACTGTACCTGAACTCTGAAGCTAACTAAAGTGTCACCACTCTTTTTTTTTAATCATATGAAGGCATTATACAATGCCTACATATGATATAAGCATCAGGCAGGCATGTGAAAATCACAATACAACTGTAACTAAGTCAGTCAAACACATTGTTCAGCTACATGCTGTCATTTTATGTGTGATATCCTGTGTAGGTAACAGGCCAACAAGAAGGGAACATCATTACTGGTTTCCTTTAACCCCTTCATGACTGAGGCCCTTTTTTCCATTTTTGCACCCATGTTATATTCCACATTTTAGGCCAGAAAATGACGTAAAACCCCCCAACATTATATATTTTCTGAATGCCAAGACCCTATAGAATAAAATGGTGGTAGTTGAAAATTTTTATGTTGCGCAATATTAGCGCAACTCCTTATTAAACCCCAAAATTTAGTGACAAATTTAATTAAATGCCCCAAAACACAACAAATTACCCATTTTTTTAATGAAATATAAAAGATGAGGTTACAACGAGTAAAACGATACCCAACATAAGCTGCTAATTCTATTACTAATGTGAGAATGCATTAAAGCCACATATTTCTATATTGTACAATTATAGGGGCAATCATGTTAGTTCCTTTTATCCAGTGCTGCTGGAGACTTTAATAGAGTAATTATTTAGAATAGCGTCTCTAATAATTTATGATTAGAGCTGACATGTGACACTTCAGCTGTCACACATCGGTTCGATAGATCGAGGACTGAGCGATCACATAACGCTGATCACTCAGTTCCCGATCATCTCCCTGCAGAGAGCTGTGACTGGCAGTCATCATTCCCTCCTCCCCTCTCCAGCACTGACTGGAGGGATGCAGCGGGCACAGCTGGTTTTGCCTCTATAAAAAGGCAGAACCAGCTGTTAATCAGGTGCCGGGGTGGATCCCCCACAATATTGTCGAGATCTTTCCCGGCCACAGCGCTGCTCTGTCGGCATATAGTGGGAAATATGCCACTATATGCTGAGTTTTGGGCCATAGGAGGACATAGTAAATGTCCTTCTGTGACCCTAAAAGAGAACTATGGCCAAAAAATATTGGGCCATAGTTCTCTTTTAAGCATGCGAAATGGGGAAAGGAATCTTTTGAAGTCATCTGTAGCTTATACTGGCAAAATTCATTTTTTCTCTAATGGTGCCCATACACTGCACGATTATCGTACGATAATCGTATGCGATCGGGTTTTCGTACGATAATCGAGCAGTGTGAACGGAGACGTGCAACCGTTTCTACTGTACGGTCGCACGTCTTCTGTCGAACCAGCATGTTCGAAAACCAGCCGGGAATCGTACGATTTTCGGCTGGTTTGAACAGTGCTCGGAAGATAAATGCTGAACGGGCCGGTGTGCGCACGCGCACACTGCCCGTTCAGCATTGCGGTCATCGGAAGCCCGCCCCTCAGGGGGGCGGGCTTGAGATGATCGAGAGTGCGATCTGCCTGTCCAAGATAGGCAGATCGTACGTTTTTTTAATCCCTTTACAACCATCGCAAGACTAAAGTCTTGCGATGGTTGTAGAGTGTATGGCCACCTTAAGCAGCATGTAACAAAGGACTGTTACCGTAATCCAGGGATAGGTGAGCTCATGACTCTGGTATTGTAGGGAGATAAGGGGCAGGAATGCTATCAGGAGGAGCCAGACTGTCCTATATTAATGCAGACGTATTCTTACCTATAGCCCTGAACATTTTTTGACATTCATAGTCTGTGTATGGCACGCTTACTACCAGTAAGGGATTCGTATAAGAGAGCTTCAGATATAAAAGACTTTTAGCTCTGAAAAGCACATAACAACATACCTCCAGCAGAGAGAAATGGTGTGATGCAGTAATTAGCAAAGCAGTTACATGCCAGATGTCCAAATCTGAAACTTCATTCAGGGTAACTCTTCAGCTACCAGATTGTGCTCTGAAGAATCAGTACGGTACTAAAGCTTGCTTGGGTGCTAAAACAGACACTTAGTCTATAGATCTGTTGTATACACCCAACACGTAAAGGCTCAATAAATGCCAATGCTGCTTTGACTGGCTCTGAGCCATGCCAGAATAATGAATATAGTGGTGCGAGTCCTCATTGCTTCTGCAGGTCTTATTATCTACCTCCGGGTGAGCATCATTATGAAACTTTACATGCTGCAGAATAATCACAATTAACCCTGTAACACCGGTACTAATGTTAGTTTCCCCATGTATGATCATATATGATAGAAGGATAACCTCATTTGGGATAGGATTGGACTTACAAGCCTATAGAAATTTCAAGTATGTTAAAGAAGAATGCCAGGTAGTATAAAAAAAAAAAAAAAAAAAAAAAAAAAAAAAAGTGCTCATTTTGTCTAGGGGGCTCAAATAAATCTGTATAACTTACCTGATCCTTGGGCCCGCAGTGGTCAGCACTCACCTCTCTCCCCCTCCGACTATGGAATGTCCCTCATGTCTAATGCCGGTCATTGGACCTGAATAAGATGTGATGACGTCAGTGGTTCTCAGACCGCTGGAACCCAGGGAAGAAGAGGCTGCAGAGATCGGTCTAGCAGGCCGGAAGAAGTCAGCGGGACTGAGGATCAGTTGAGTAATCCAGTAATATTACTGTATTAATATCAGGTGGGTCATTTATTTGAGCCCCCTAGACAAAACGAGCACTTTACCCTAACAGTGCAGGGGCAGCCCCACTGCTGGGGTCAGCTTTTCGTTTGCCCAGAGTTCTTTTTTATTTACAGATGAATTACATTGTTATATAGTAAATAAGATTGAAAAAAAGACACAGGTCCAACGTGTGTGCACGATTTTACAAGCATAGTTCACTTTGCTGTAAGAGGGTTAAAAATAAAATCCCTTCCTGACCCCATAGTGCTGATCAGATAGATGCCTGGATCAATCTATCGATTTAAGAATTGCCATAGCCCTGTCTATTAGGCCAGGTTCACACCTGGGTGATCCGTGACTGTGCGGCAATCTTGCATGAAAGCGTGCGGTCACGGAATCACACACCACTGTCGATCACGCTGGCGGTACCATTATTTTCTAAAGGCGCCCCAGGCAGATTTCCCACCGCAATACCACCTGTGCAATCGCGCACGATCGAGGTTTAAAAAGAGAGTGTCGCTACATCTGCCGCACAGATGTAAGCCCATTGAAATCAATGGGGCCGCGCGACAACCGCTGTGTGCGCTCTTTATCGCCAAAGTCTGCACCAGCCCTTATGCTAACTGAGGAAGATATCTTAAACTTTCAGCTACTACTACATGCAGGGGAAGAGAATTTCAGATTTTTACTGCACCAACAGTAAAGAACCCTTTTCTCAGTTTAAGATTAAACCTTTTCGTCCAATCCTAAATCGTGGCCTTCTTAAGGGACCTCAGCGTGCCTCTTTTTTAGACTACATTAATATAATCTTTATAACGCTTCCTCATAGACGACACACATGCACAGGTTGGGATGGGTGGACCTGTGTCTTTTTCCAGCCTTATCTACAATGCAACTCTGTCATTAATGTCTATCAAAGGCCAATGTTTTCATTGCAGAAAATTTTTAATAACACAGTTGAGACGATATAAGCAGAATGAGTTCTGCAGCACTGAGACGGCATTGCACACGAGTGACTGAGATATATGAACAATATGGGCTGAGGCACATTAGCACTGAATCAAAGTGTCCCTGGAAAGCAGTTTAAAATGTTGCCAGTTGTGCTTCATAGGCTTCCAGCTGAGACGATCAGTGTTGTTCTCCAACACGGACCACAACTGCATCAATTATGTGCAGATCCAATTAAAATTGTGATCCAGATTTAGGAGTATTTTCTTTTAGTGGCTTAATATGGGCGTTTGCTGACTTTCCTATTCAATCCAAATCACAGCTAAACATTAAAGTAAACCACAGGGAAGTGTAACAAGTTTGCTTTACAGGAGGTACTTTAAAAAGCCTTTACTTAACCCCGCCCACAGCATGTGACAGTGCCCGATGATTGGCTGCTGTGGGGAAGCGGGGGAGTAAAACGTGCTCCCGCATACAGTAATTTGGCAGGCCGATAGGGGCTGTAGAGGAGTGAGGAAGATAAGGTAAAGGTAAAATACTAATTACTGCTCCCAATACATTTTAATTCATTCTAGCTTCCAGTATCCCAACATTTATTGAATATATTTCAACATATAACTTTCTTTCCAGTCAACAAAAAGAGAACTTTAAAACAAAATCCCCCACAATGCTTAAAGTGATATTAAAGCTGTTGTTTTGGGGGGGGAGTTTCACAGTTACTTAACAAGCTTCTTTTTTTGAATTGCCCCATTTCATTAATTTCCTTCCGGTTGCGGCCAGCCCCTCCTGTTTATGGGCGTCTTCGTTGCCTAGCAGGTTGCCAAGGAGACAACCGTGTATGCGCACTCCCAGCTAGGAACTGAGCCGAGATGTGTGCGTCCACTGAAACACACAGCGCACCACAAGCCACACCCCTGCTCCCGCCTCTTCCCTCCTTTACAGCAATTTGACAGGCAGGTGTAGCATTCTATCGCTCTCATTGGCCCTGGGATCCCTCTTCTCAAGCCGGAACTTTTGGGAAAGCAGCACATATCATCTGGGAGCCAGCGGCGGTGAATGTGGTGATACAAGTGTTGGGGGGGCATGGCAAAGTAGCGGGTGTTTCTTACCTTAATGCAGAGAATGCATTAGAAAAAACCCCAAATAGTCTTTATTACTACTTACATTTTTATAGAAGCAACTGGATTAAGGAAACAATTGGACTATTAATACACACTTGCATCATTACACAGGTTGCTCAGACTTCTGGGCCTCAACCTGGAAGTGCAGAAAACATTCCATATTTGTGAACTTTTATGACCAGCACCGCATACCTCTGCAGCTCTCCAGCGAAACTGATCTGGCAAACAGAAATGCCGGAAAACTTACAACACTAATATTCCTAATCATTGTAAGCGATCAGACAGCGTATGTTACCTGCTGCAGAACCTTCTCTGTGAATATTTCTTGCAGTCGCGATATTTCAACCACCTTGCCTTCTATTTGCCTGCAAAAAAAGCACCACCGACAAAATCACATTTCGGTCAATAAAAAGATATAGAAATAAGTCAACATGCAGACTGCCGGTTTAATAAGTTCTTCTAAAAGACTTTTCCTTTAGTCTTAAATTGAACCTGTGCCCAGGCTATGCACAAAAAAGTATTCACATACTCTTAACCATCAGTAAATGAGATTTGAAACAAGCTCTCGCTAACCTCTGTATCTCATAGCACTGTGCACAATTTACAATCACATTTCAAACAGTAGAAGCACTAAAATCCTCCAAATCATTGTCATCAACTCAACTTCCCCTGCTTCTCCCTCCCAGAGCGCCTGCTATGTGCTTATATTAGAGATTATAGGGCCAAAGGCCTGCAGAATGACAGCTGGGAGGTGGGAAAATAGAGAGTTGAGCTGCTGAGAAAATGCCTCCAGTGCTTCCCCGGTGAATTATGAGGAGGAATTGCTCCACAGCACCTACAGTTTCAGAGGTAAGTGAGGGTTTGTTTTAAACCTCATTTACTGCTTGTTAAGAATATGTAAATAATTAAATGTAATTATTTGGCTACATGTATAGTTTAAAGGAGCGCTGATGCTATAGTCAATAGTTTAATGAAGCCATATCTGTAAAAGAATCCTAAGAAATCTTGTACTGGAGTCTGTACTGAGACCCACACTTCCTGATGTGTCAATCTCCTGGTTCACCTGCAGCTCTCACTCACTGGTTCTTCCTTCTAAACTCCATGTCACTACTGTATCCTGTAAGGGGTGGAGGTCAACAAGAGGGACCACTGGAAGCAGTGGGAAGACTGACAACTCTTGGAAGTTTCATTGCTGACTTCAGCAGATTATTTCTCAGCATCAGAGTTGAGTTTGATAACAGGGGCAGAAAAAAAGTCGAGTATTTAAAGACGATTAGCAATTTGGTTGTTTAACATGCCCATAGACACTAGATGGTCCTCTATGACTGTCCTCAGACCTCTATATTTAGGTCTATGGAGAGGTGGAGGATGTTGTAGAAATCTAAGGCACTTGCTTATCTCAGAGAAGGCAATAGCAATCAGACAAGGTTGTGTAATCAGTTCAGTCTTTTGGGACCAAGAGGTTTTGTCTGGTGGTATTGGCAGTTCCCTCATAGTCAAGGAATTGGTCTTAGGATGCATGAAACACATAACTAGAAAGGCATAGAATGTGTGGGAGAAAGCAGAATATAATTTAAGCAGAAACTCATAAAGTTCTGTCTGTTATAGAATATCCAGTATTGGCAGAAGAACATTCCATGAGTCAAGTATTAAACATTCTGCTTTCCTAGCTCCAGAGAAACTACACCCACACCATACCTATTAATAGCCCTTCAGTCACGTGCTCCCATTTATATGTTTAACAGCGGTTTTTAATGAGAGAGATAAATTATCCTCTTATTTAATCGCCAACATGGACCAGTACATTGAGGTGAAGCAGCATGGACAAGATGACCTTGAAGATGATGTACGAGGTAGGTTTCTCTCTCAGCAGTTTACCTGGTATAATAAAACGGTGGCAAACAATAAGTTAGCCTCATCTGAAGAAAAGGTGTCTTATCACCCAAACAAACCAGCATAACCATTTCCCATCCAGAAATCTAACCAGTTTTTATCAGAAAAATGAATAGACACAGCAAGGATCGGTAAACTGTGGGATCTTTGGAGAAGGGGTTGTCATAGAAAAAACTAGCTGGTCTCTAAACCTGCTTACGCTCTAATAACACATATCTAGAGGATTAATATAAGTCTATGACCATTAAAGTGACACTAAACTTAGGAATTCAATCTTTAAAATGCACTCAAGTACCTTAACTATTAACAAAAATGTATCTTTTTGTGTATCACTCGGCTTTAGATCCTCAAATCATCTCTGAATTGGTGCCGACACTGTCCTTCCTTCTGGAGGGTGGATAGTTTTATTCCCCATGGTCCCTGTGTGTGTTGTAAAGTAGCCATCACTCCAAGCTCACTCCTGTGATGGACAACAATCTCGTTTAGTTTACTAATTTGTACTGAGATCGTAGTCCATCACAGGAGCGAGCTTGGAGAGGTGACTTCTTTACAACACGCAAGGACCATGGGGAACAAAAGTAGCCCCCCTCCAGAAGGAAGGACAGTGACAGCCCCAATTTACAGATGATTTGAGGATCTACAGCCGAGTGATACACAAATAAGATACTTTTTGTTTTTATAGTTAAGGTACTTGAAGGTATTTTTATACATTTAACTCCTGAGTTTAGTGTTTACATTTCTATTTTGAGAATCCAATAATCATCATTACCAAAGAAAAAGTCTTTGTTGCCTAAAGCAACATAGCCAGGTTCTAGTATTAAGCTCCAAGTTGATTAGGTGAAAAGTCTGTGTTAAGGACTTTGTGCTGTTACACAGTTGTATAAATATGACCCAATGCACGGCCACGGTTGATGTTCATATGACTGTGAGCTGAGAATTTATATTGTTAATTTTCCTTAAAGTGATATTAAAAGGCAAAAAATGTTTTCCCTCCCCACCATGTAAAATGTTAGCACTTACCTTAAATGATGTCTCTTATTCTGATCTTCCTCTTCTTTCCCCATGTTTTCATGTGTCCCTCCAGCGGTGCGGCGTCACTCGGATCCAGCGCTGACTGCTCTCTCTCTCCGATCCAGCGGTGTCTGCAGGCGGGTGCACGCGTCCATAGACTTACCTTGCGTCTCTGCTCGTCTCCCGGCCAAGAATCGGAACTGCGCATGCGCCCGCCCCAAGATCCTTTGCGGCCGTACGAGCAGTTCCTGATTCTCGGCGCGGGAGCGAGCGGCCATAACGAGGTAAGTTTAAAATGATTATAAGCGGTTTTTGTTTTTTTTACACTTCTTGCCTATATCTACTGCATGCTAGCAGTAGATATAAGCAAAAAAAAACCGGAGGGTTTAGAACCCCTTTAAGCCATTTGTTAATTCTCATAAGTAGCTGTTTAATATACTGCCATCTCGTGGTCATTTTGATTATTGCACCACATTTTCTTTGTTCCCTCCCATCTATGATGCATTTCCCCCTTCTGGTCCAAAAGTAGTTCTTTCTGGTGTCAAGGCTGCCTATAGCAGGGCCACAGAGAATATGCTCGCTTGGAAACATTATCATCTTTGACCGGCAAATACCTTCTGTTCAATCATCTACTGCATCCTGTATTCTGCTGTAACTATGCTGCAATTAATAAAGAACTTTGTGGATGTAAAGGTATTTGGTGAGTTCAGCTATCTGATAAGGATTGTCCGCAGTGATTATATCTGCTTATACAGGCCAGGCATAGAGGTCTCAGCAAGAGTTAAATCGCTAATACAATAATCAGTGTCAGAAAATACTTATTTTTCCTTTAAGCAAAAGTGTAACTTTCAAATGACAAATTAAAGGTTACTTTAGCAGTACACATTAGGGAAAAGAATCCATACAGAGAGCACAGACTACCCATTCGGGGCTTCGGTTTATCATGTACACTTTGCTGTAGTACATAGGTCTACCTTACTCCCTTTTTGTTGCTAATCTGGGAATCCCTTTTGCTTACCTACTTATAATAAATAAGAGGTGTTCCCAAACACACCTGCTGCAGGCGCTTTGCTACTATCCCATACAGAAATCCTGACCTGTCAGTAAAATGAAGTTTCCCAACCACATTTAAACCTGCATTGTTAAGTTGCCTTGAGTGACAGTATGGAAACTGTACCGTGATGTACTGGGCAGTTTTATCTTTTAATTATCCAGAGGTTATAGGATACATCAACAGGCAATGAAGAAAGCCTTCAAACATTGCTGAAGATCATAGCTGTTTAAGCACACATAGATTTTTCTGTACATTTCCCAGCGACTGTTTTCAACAATGCATTGTGTATGTTACGTTTCATACAGCAAAGCAGTGGAGACAATGATACGCAGTGAGAACGGGTCTGAGAGGTGATACAACTTATCTATTCAGGGAAGAGAGAGTAGCCACATCCAGCGTCCATCAATGCCTTGTTGCCAAGGAAACAGGCTTTGTTTAAAAATACCTGCACTTATCTGATCTTTCCAAAGATGTCAATTACATTCAGTACATTTACTCCGGCTTAACCCTTTCACTGCATGTCTGGCTTGCCTTCAGCTAAACACAACAGCTTCTATGTTGCCGGATTACTGTTCTTCATATGTTTAAAGCAGGCCGTGTGCTAGGTGTTTGATTTCCCCATTCATGCTAAACAGGAAGTGTGTTTTCTGCAAAATTACCAGGAGAAAACCATTTAAAAAAAAAACCCCACGCACTTAAATTTTAAATCAATTTTTTTTTCTTGATTTAACCAGAATCCTTAATTAGAATGGCACCCCAATGCACAATTACAGTAGTGTACAACACACTAGCACTTCAGCACATCACAGCACATGAGCTATGCATTGTGGTGAACTGCTTAAAAAAGATATGTTCATTTTTCTGCGCTGCTAGCCCTTTATAAATGAATAGGCTGCCTTTCACATGTTGCGTTGACTAGTGTGACTAGGCCTTAAATGTTTACATGACATGGACCACTCAACCCTCCCTGTCACAAAAAAACAGCAATTAGAATTACTACTTTAGCTAACCAACAAATTATTGCAGTTCTGTATTTATGAATACATCATTAAATGCATTTGTTAAATGAAAGAAGTGTAAGTATCTGAATTTGACTTAGTATCAGCCTCATCCTGTACAGCAGAACATATCAGCGTAGAAGGGGGATAGAGAAGCTGCAGAAGTTTACAATCAGTTTGTGTGTGACGAGGAGCATGCCGATAAGAGGAGAAAGCAGAGATGAGCTGAGGAAAGATCCATGACGCCCTGTGTCAGAGGAAGTGGGCTGAATGAAGTTGGGCATCATTAAACCTGGAAGACTGAGGACATCAAGTGGCAGAACGGAAGTACTGCAGAGGACAGCTCCACATTAATTTCTCTGTTAATTGAATAATAGTTTATTTTTGCTCGGCTTCAGGATTTTCTCCCTTGGGTATATCTCCCCTGCCCTGTAGAACAGTATATTACATCGGAATATAAACACAGTTATGTACACTTCCTTAGAAATAAAGTAGCAGATTGGTTTACCTTACTTCATCGAAAAGACTGTTCATCTCGCTGACAAGTCTCTGGTTTTCCTGCTCAAACTGTAAAAAAAAATAAAAAAATTATAAAGGTTAATGTTTATTCATTGAGTTTAACAATTGATTCCAAAAAGAAAGCTCACATTACAAAATATTCAATACATGTTGTTACATCCTTCATTACACATAGCAATGTTGTAGTCTGCAGTGCTTTCCTATCCATTCTGCCTGCTAGCACATGCAGTGTATGCAACATCCAAGGCATGCCTCTGCTGATATCGGTCACAGTTACCAGTCGGCTAATGTTAGCGCTCAACTCAGCTTTCAAGCCCTGAAATGCCCGAGGCGTGTTTAGTTGCTCAGCAGCTACGAGTGCTGAGTTGGCAAACCGCCGCTGACCGCTATGCTGCAAGTCGGCGCTCAGCACTGCTAACTTAGCACTTGCACCTGAAGTGAATGTGGATGCAGAGGGCTGATTGTGGCAGAGAAGGTAAGGACAGAGCACCAGCGGCCATTTCAACGGTGGGCACACCTGGAACCACTGGAGAAAGGTGTCTGAACCCCAACAGAGGAAATCAATTCCGTGTGGGAACCTACAATTTAATGTTTTGGTGGAAAAGCACATCAAATATTGGCTGGAAAATTGTATTTATTAGTCAAAAATATTATCCTCCATTTTGCTTAGCACTGTGCAGCCAAAGCGTTCAGTGAAACATCTGCAGTGAACAGCTACTCAGCGCTTGGCTAAGGAACTGAACACGCCTCTGGTGTCATAACAAATCACATGTGCAGCAACATGGCAACATCTTATAAAAACAGATGTGAAGATGGCACCGTACTTGGCGCATAGGAGAGTTTAAAGGCCAAATCTGAGCAGAATTACCTTCATGGATTTCAAGTGGGCCTTCTAATTCCTTGGGAGGAGCTCAATCTCTCACAGGTATACTTCTGTGTCCTGCAAATCATTTCGTTTTAATGGCGAGAGGAAGTCCAGCACCTGCCGTACTTCCTGGCCGCTCCAGCAGCAAAGCTTGATTCGCACCTAGGCGACACGCTTACACGCTTCTTTTTTTTAAGCTTCTTTTGCGCGTTTTACGCGTGTGTGTGTTAAGTTGCGCGTTTTTGTGAACAGATTTTGGCACATTCATGTGAACGAGCAAAACGCACGTAATAAGCACCCAAATAATCGCAACACACGTATTTCAAGTGTTTTTCTATTGAGTCTATGCTGCAAAACACACTAAAATCAGCCACAAAGTAGCTCATATAGTATTTCCTGCGACAGGCTTATTTCTGCTTGCAACAAAACGCTGACATGTGCACTGGGGTCAAAGACATGAATGGGATTCCTAGTGTTGAGCTGTTAGTTCCACTGATTTACACGCGACAAACAGCTAAGGTGTGAAGGGGGGTCTAAGTGCTGCATGTCTCATAGGCCCAGTGCTACGATCACATCTGCGCCCCCCTCTCCCAGGCCATTCACAAAACAAACAACCCCTGGCCTGGAAGTGCAGCGGGAGCGGAGGGTATGAACTAAATGATTTGCAGGATATACAGTAGAAGTATGCCTGCATCCTGCATGAGGGTGACATTCTCCCGAGAAAGTGTGCTTGCCCAAAACCAGTGATGGGAATCCTGCATGGAGTTGGGCTTTTAATTTAAAAATGGAACTACACTTGAGTTATAAAATGTATTAGAATTGATTGTTTATATGAAACTGTCCTTTTAAATGTAATTTTTTTAACGTAATTTTCTCTCTTTCAATCCGTAGCCAAATCTTTTTCTATAACTTCCCAAATAGATTGGGGGGAAATGATCAAAACTAGAGCAGACAGAATCTGGAGCAGTTCCTAGTAGCCAATCAGATTCTCTCTTCTGTTTGCTCAGTTAATCTTTAAAAATGAAAGAGGGAAGCTGATTGGTTTCAATGGGCAACTGCTCCAGATTCTGATAAATTACCCTCATTATATATATATATATATATATATTTTAGTGCACCAGCAACCAACTGCAACAAGATTTGGCTGCCTGGACCACATAGGGTTTCACAGCTCATGGCTCTCTTCCCTTCTCACGCAACTGAGGTTATAAAATCAGCCTGAAATCTAGCACCCTAAATCTACTTTAATGTGGAAATGTAACCTAAAGGTCATAGTGCAGTAAAGCTCCCTGGGTTTACCTGGGTGTAATCTCTACTGAGATACTTACACCTCTAAAGGGATGCTGGGGAAGCGGTGTTCCGTGTAACAGTGATGGAGTATTGTGGCCACCATGAAATAACCTTCTGACTGGCATTTTGAGAAATTTCAGCATAACACTGGAACAACTCATGCACATTATCTTTAAAACACAAATAGTTACCAATCTGCAGCGTAGATAGTGAAAATCCTGGCAATATATCTGTCATGGGGACGGTTTGTTTGTTTCATTGCTTATCAGCAGTCTGGACATTATTGCCACTTCTTTATTGACCTTGCATTGCTGACTAAGGCCTGGACATAAGCAGCCCAAGCTTGCCTCTAACAGACAGCCTAACACCATGCTGGTATCATTAGCACTCACAAACAATCTCTGGGTGAGCCGGCTGTTTCTTCCCACTTCTGGGATACAGGATTTATATAGCGCAAACAGTTTCTGCATCGCTTTACAATATGAGGACATTACAGTTACAATATCAAGACAAAATGGTAAGGAGGGCCCTGCCTGTGAAAGCTTACAATCTAAAAATGATTGACCCAAATGTTTCAAATGACAGGCAGATTTCCCCCTCTACCATTCTTCTTGGTAAAACATCAGCCTGTCTATCACTCCTCACAAACAGTCCCACACTATGCAATAATTAAGAGCAAAAAGGTGATTTGAGCATCACTTGTAATCTGCTAGCCCTGTAACACTTCCCTGAATTTTGATGGCTTGGTGCTGATTGTTCCATTTTCTATGGAGAACAGAATGTAAAATATTAACCCCCTTGTGTGCTGTTAGCGGACCGAGCTAGAGAGAGCATTGTGGCGGGTACCGACTGCGTAAGAGATGCAATGTAGGATGTGCAGATGACTCTCTGCACATCTGTCTATTCACAGCTAGTAACAGAATCTTGAACACTTGCAGGCTGGCAACCAAATGTATAAAGAAATCCAAATTGTTTTGTCACGGTGATCGAAATTGATCATCAATTTGACCCCTTTAACGAATAGAAAAATCAAACAAAGGTTCCTAAAAACTTTTTGCGAATGAAATTTCACAGGTGTATGTATGGCCAGCTTAAGTCTGGAAGCCAAAAATCTATGCATAGTATCAAAGAATCTGGCTTTTAGCAATTGTTTCTGTTTTGTGTACACTGCAAAGCTCAAGTGCCCCACAGCCTTCAGCATGGCTCTTTACTCCACATGGTGCGGGTCTCCGATCCAGCGCTGACTCCTCTATCCTCCTCTCCTCGGACGTCCCACGGAGTCTGTGCGGGTGCACGCTGCTCCATAGACTTCCCTTGCGTCTCTCCTTGTCTCCCGGCCGAACATCTGAACTGCGCATGCGCCCGCCCGAGAAATTTTCAGATGTTCGGACGGGAGCGTGCGGCGAACACACAGGTAAGTATTAACCCTTTCAAAAAGTTTGTTCTTTTTAATCATTTTGCATACATCTACTGCTTGCTAGCAGTAGATATATGCAAAACAAATGAAGGTTTAATAACCTTTTAAAGGAAAATTATGGGGAGAGAGAAATATACTCACCCCCATAATTAGAGCCGACGTATGATACTGAAACTGTCGCACGTCGGCTCTATTGATTGAGAACTGAGCGATCACATACCGTGATCACTCAGTTCCCGATCATGTCTCTACAGGGATTCCCCCCTGTAATCTCCATTCCTCCTGCACGGACTGGATTGACATTGGACCTGTCAATCAGGTAGCGGGGTGGATCCCAACAAAAAGAGAACTGTGGCAAAAAAGGTTGGGCCATAGTTCTCTTTTAAATAGAGGTGGGTGATGTGGAACAATGCTGCAGACAAAGCAGTGACGGGATCCTGCACCAGATAAACCTAGAGGAGGGCACAGTAGGAGGTAAGTGTGCCATGTGCATTTATGCTGTGCATACTTGCATATTATGGCTAGAGCCACCCACCATGATGTGGACTATAGTTTCACTTTAACCCAGAAATGGGACCAACATTTCGGAGCCTGCAATTGTTTCAAAAGATACTGTAGTCCCGCTTACCTCCAAGAACACAGCTGACTTCTGTTTACTGATTTTATACCTACGAATACACACACCTCTCTCTATATGTGCAATGTATATAGCTGTCCATTTAATATTTTTTTTGATGTACACTTCTCTAACCAAACAAGCATTAAGCAAGGAGACGAATGTCTGGCTGCGAACAGCACTTGGACTGAAAAGCACTTGGTTAAGTCTGGGTGGTAGAAAAGCAATCAGCGCTGCTGACAGCAGCCGCTATTAATCTTTAAAAATCAATTTAGCACGCAAGATTGGTCTACGGGAATAAAACGGATATCCAAAAAGTGAAGATTCGTCATCTGGAAGGATTACTGTAAGTGTATGAGGAAGATGTATCAGCCTTTGATATAACATATAATCTTTACATATCCACTTCCCGCTAAAGCCAGGCAGCCGTGACAAGTCATTGTATTAGTAATAAACTTGCAAAACACACTATTTGTATATTCATTTTCCAAGCTGACTCCAAGATCCTGACCTATATACAGACAGATAATAGCAGAATGAAGATGAGACAGGCAGATTTTTTTCTCTTTTTACATCTATGAATAATATTGTGAGGTGTGACGAGAATGCTGCCAGGAAGGTCCATGCTCTTGAGCTATACGAGTCACAAAGTTTTAAAAGCCACTGTATCAGCATCACAGCCAGGTAACTAGTTAGGAAGTCCTTTCCCCATCACTAGGATGAACAACCTCTGACCACTGGTGAGTCACGGGTAGTAGCTGGGCCAAGTGCCATTATCTTAGTTGAAGTTGGGGTAGCAGAGCACCCCAGGTTCTGAGCTCCCACTATGCACTTGGACTGGGGTAGGCAAACTCTGGCCC